GTTGAAAGTGAAGATACAAAGTGCATGGAATGTACCTAACCTCAAGAATGATGTTTAAATGCAGAAGATGAATAACTAATCATACCTCAAATGTCTATAAAAATGAAAACCTGTCATATGCGGAGACAAGGTTAGTGAAGTAAAATGCCCCTTTGTGTCTTAGACATGGGATCCCTAACCTCACGGGTGGGATGCTAAGAGAAACATGTCCTAGGATTGGTATCTCTTTAAAGCCAATACATGTTTTCCTAAAGGGCATTAGGCCTTCTCAACCATTTATCCTTTCGGAATCAACAGGAGATATTTCCAAAAGCTAATACACAGAATGATATTGCATCATCAAGTGTCGTATTAACCAATGGAAACAACCTAACAGGAACCGATCTTACTCCTCAAAGCGGGAAGAATTGCTCTTCCAAGCTAGATTCATAAGGATTCCAGACTAGAGGTCGGGTTCACCTCCGACACGGACCTAATGCAAAATGAAGGTGAGTGTGTGCAAAGGGGCATGACACTCCAATAACCTGCAGAATGGCAACCACAAAAAGCAACAACATATATCCCACAACAATCAAAGAAAGCATGTAAAGCACTCAACAAATATATCATCCACAAACAAACCTACTTACACAGCAGGAAGAGACTCACCTCGTACTCCTATGCCAAATGCAAAAGGTTAGTAACACAAAGCAACCAACACTTAGCATGCAACAAGATATAAATAATCGCACAAGAGGGAAGAGACTCACTGAGTACTCCATAGTCAAGTGTAAAAGGTGAGTATATCCACACACAAACAAGTAGGCATGTAGGCATGATGCATGATGAATAAGCATGTTATATCGATGATGGATGAGCATGTGAGATGATATGATGCATGAACATGTTAGCAAGGTATGATGCATGTTAAGATGTAGCAAGATAACTACTTAAAGGCAAAACAATCAAAGCAACCACTAAAACTTTGAGCAAACAAACAACAAGCAACACACGACAAGCACATACAATAAATAACAAAGACCCACAAAGACTCAACAAACACAGAAAAAATCAAAGGTTGAAAATTCCCCAAGGTTAAAGTATTAGCTTGACCCTCGTGAACCCAGAATTTGGAAACCAGAGATTCTGGGTTCTGTCCCCAGTGGAGTCGCCAAACTGTTGACGACCACTTGAGATTTTTTTCAAAATAAATTGAAAAATCAAGTGTAAAAATGTATAAGAAAAGGGAGTCGCCACTCATCCAAATTATAAGGTGGGACAAGTCACCTAAAACGGGTCTGCGCAGAGATCGGGGATCGGGGGTTCGGTTAGGAGTGAGGAAGGGCACACGCGCACCTCACAATCCTCCGTTTAAATACGGTTGCATACTTTAACATTGGGGGTTTTGATTCAACTTATTCATCATATTTATGTTTGAGTCTTAATAGGCAAGCCTAAAAAAGGGATAGACCAAATTGTGACATTTTAAAATTTTTGGGCTAAAATGGACAAAATCAAAGACAAGCATGCATCATAAACACAAATAACATTAAAGGGACTAATTTGATTAAATTCAAAATATGAAGGACTGATTTGATTAAATTCAAAACATGAAGGACTGGTTTGAAAAGAGTTGAAACTCATGGACTGAATTGCTTAATTACAAAAGCTTGCGGGTGAAATTGAGATAAAATAAAAGAAAACTTTGACTTTGACCAAGATTAAAGTTAATTGAAAATTGAAATTAATTAATTGAGATAATTAGTCTAATTAAATAATTAATTTAACATTAATTAAAATTAATTAAAATTAATTAATCATATTTACTCATCTTTAATTAAGATAATCAAATAAATCTAATTATCTCAAATTAAATTTTCATAAATATGATTAATTTATTTTGATTAAAATTAATTAATTTCATTAATCATAAATTAAACTAACTCAACTAATTAA